AGATAGATAGATAGATAGATAGATAGATAGATAGATAGATAGATAGATAGATAGATAGATAGATAGATAGATAGATAGATAGATAGATAGATAGAGGTGCATTGTGAACATCCATGTTACTCTTTCAGGCCTAATGCATTCTAGAGATGTATTTACAATATTTTACAGGTCTGTTAACTAAATCAGTGTGATACAGTCAAACATTAAACATAAACCTACATGCATTCGCATTCAACCTATAAGAAAGCATCTACAGGCTCCTAGGTCACCTTAACTCAAAAAACTTCCTCACTGTCTGCCAAAAGGCAGACATAAATCTCATCCAATACGAAATCCTCTGAGATCTATAATCGAATATGTGTAAACAGGTAGTCCTTTAGAAACATGCCTCTCAACAGGAAAAAAAATGGGTTACATAAGATGACCCGGCCACCACTGTTATCTTTTCTGGAGGGAAAAATGTATAAACATTTGTGGTGTGAAAGCTAAGTGCTGCATATGTGTATGTGTGTGCATTTATGCTGGGTAGCATAGTAATTTGCTGTATATCAATACTTTTGTGGCACAGATGAAGAGTTAAGTTTTCCTAAGGGGAAGCAGACCACCAAATATCCTCTTTCGCACAACGCCCTCGTCAGCTATAAAGCAATGAGGCATCCTTTAAGATCTCTGTTTCTCTGTGTGTTTGTTGGAACTGGGAAGAGGGGTGTAGAGGAGTGTATAGAAGTGCTGAGCTCGGCTTGGCTGGAGGCCAGGGGAAGACGCTATGCCCCAAGCCAGAGTATTTTCTTCTCAGACAATGATACTTAATTAATCCCTTTTCCTGGATTTTGTCAACAATGCCTGGATTAGCCCTGTCTCTTTAATTCTCTGTGTGCTGGGAGAAAATAGGGTGTTAGCTATCAATGGAGATATAAAGACACTATCCAATGTCATTTAGGCTCTAATTTTTACAGATCCTCTATATCAATGGATATCATTAGCAGCCAGCTATAAAATGAAACACAAAGGCTGACTAGCTGCTTTTTTAACATCTGAATGCATGGTAAGAAAAAAAAAGGAAGGGATGTTATAAAGGCTATTTTTGTATCTTTTCTGTCTAGTATAAATAGTAACATGTAATGACATTAATAACATGACATAAATAGGATGGGTCACATGAGAAAAGGCTCAAAAGTAAAATGCAGGGATTAGCCTGAACTGACGTAAGGTGATTTTCACTCTCAATTGTCTGCTGCCTGCCACCTAATGCATCTACCTGCCTTCCTTTCTCTTATCTGAGCGATAACTCCTCCTTTTCTTTCTGTTTCCCATCATTCCTTTTCCCCCTCCAGATACCCCTCAAAAGACATAAACCTTGTCTTTTCCTGCCACATTAAAGAAAGGCGATGTTACGTGATTGAAATCTGTTTGCCAGACACAGAGAGTTAAACCCACATAATCTCCTTTCACATTTAACACACACATAGTCTATCCACTCTGTAATCGCACTGCTGTGGGAGGCTGATGTCCGACTTCCCTCTTTTCCATGCGTGTGTGGGTGTGAAGCGGAAGGGAGCCAGGCAGGAGCGCAATATTGTAGACAGGATATGGGTGGCTGGTTGGGGGAAAGGTTCTCAGGTGCAAAGGTGTTCGGATGCAACTGAGTGACCGAGCGTGCATCTCAGTGTGTGGTAAGGTGAAAGGGATAGAGAGAGGTTAATGTTAAATGACTGCCTCCGCTCTTGATGCCAAATTCAACCAACAGCAGAAATCTACGATCACTTGTGCATGTGCAGAGCGTGTGACTGTAAATGTATGTGTGTACAAGCACGGCAGAGAGGAGATAGTCATTGTTGGAGCAGATCCTCTCTTCAAAAATCTGAATTTAGGTCAAGTTCAATCCATGCTACCGTTTGAATCCATGTCAATCACTTTCACAGGCTGCTAGGCTTACTGATCTGCACTTTCAGCACCACGGAGAGCACCACTATGTATTTCTGGGGATAAACACAGAAGTGCTGCCATACTTGGAAAATAAGGAGAAAACTATTAGCAGGTGACACTATTTGGAAGTAAAATATTTTCATGATAAAGTACTAAGTATTGGTTAAAAAGTATTCATAATTACGCAATTGTTCACTATTGCCATCATAACATTAATGTTGTCCTTCAGCTCACCTTAAGTTTACCATAGCCTGCTTTGCGTGTCAGTGCTTTTCTACTTACACGCCTCGCACTTCACAATTGTAGCATAGTTGTCTTTAATCTTAAAGTCTTACCAAATGAACTCAAACAGCATTTGAGTTCATAGCTGCAGGGATGAAGTGATTTTAGTGGAAATGTTTGACAGTATGTGTTGCATATGGACACTATGTGGACAAAAGTACTGAGGAACCTTTACATTATCTGTACAGGAGCTACTCAGCCATGGAAACCCATGCTATAAAGTTCCTCCCCACAGAGCACCACTTTTCAACAACAGGTGCTTACTAAGCAGGACAATCTACTATCCATGAAAAACTCACAACAAAGGTTTGCTCTGTCTCCCAAACTCCTGATAACAAGCCAGTTTCAGTGCACATGTAATGTTTACAAAATATTTATATTCTCATTTAAAAGGCAGTGTCCTTAGGAATGTCACTGCTGTTTAAATATTTAATACAAAAATCCCTGAAATGCAAAGACTGTTGGGCTAATTTATATCACCTAAAAAATAGCTTTCTTCTTAAACTTATCAGAATATATCTGTTTGAACACATGAAGGCTATTCCATGCAGGAAATTGCAAGAAAACTGAATATTTTATACAACAGTGTGTATTTCTACTTTCACAGAAAAGAAAAAACTGGCTCTAACCAAAGCCAAGAAAAAGAAGTGTGAGGCTCTGATGCACAGCAAAGCAAGAGAGCAAGTACAACTTGTTCTGAGAATCAAGAAACTCACACATCCTCAAATGTGAGATTCATTGTATAGTACCTGCAAAAAAAAAAAAAAATCAACAGTGAAAGACAACTCTAGGTTTGTGGCCTTGTAGACAGAGGCCATATGAGGCTGGCCACTAAATGGAAAAGATTAGGATGAGTGAATGAATTTGGATCTAAAAATGAGGTGTAGAACAAATAAAAGATGCTGGAACATTGACTGCCATGTAAAACAGTTTTTGTAAAGGCTAAAATAGATCTAAATGACTAGAAGACTATTCCTCTATTTTGAAATGCCACGCCTAACCTTGTCAACACTGTTTGTATAAAGTCTCTAAACTCCTATGACTCCTGTAGTAGAGCTGTTTCACTGAGCTTCACCTCTACACCAACAAATTACAGCTTGGTGGCAGTCAGGAAAAACTCTAGTATTCAAGTTGCTTTAAATATAATAATTCTAAGTGTCATTTGGCATTGCAATAACTTGGTATTGGCAGCAGTGGGCACCAAGAGAGAACAGTCCTGACTGAAAGAAAGCAACAATGCCAGATAAGGGCAGTGGCACTGGTGCATATCACAAAAAATCAAAGGAGACAAACAGTTTGTGTCCTGCTTCATTTCATTTTGTTTTTTTTCTTGCTCTTTAGTTTTGTTGTTGTTGTTTTTATTAATATTATTGCCATTTACTTTTGCTTTCAAATATTGGTTATTTCATTTTAAGCACCAAAACTTTGCTGGACTTTCACAAAGATGGTGATATAGAATACAATATGAGTTGGAATCTATAACCTTTCCTTCTGTTCAGTATATTAATTTTACTTATTAATTACTTAATTAATCTGGGGAAGCTAAAGATAGATAGATAGATAGATAGATAGATAGATAGATAGATAGATAGATAGAT